CAATCATAGGGTTATCGAGGATGCTCTATCGATTGATGGGTATATGTATGGGCTCCTACTCAGTTCCATACGGCGAGTATGCTGCTTAGGCATTTGGCCTCCAGGACCCAAGGGTATTCCCCAATAATAGGACTTGAGGATCAAAGGGTACCCCCTAATAGGAGTTGAGGACACAAGGGTACCCTCCAATAATAGGACTTGAAGACTCAAGGGTACCCTCCAAGAATTGGACTTGAGGACGTAAGGGTATCTCCCAATAATAGGACTTAAGGGTCAAAGGGTACTCCCCATTAATAGGACTTGAGGACCTAAGGGTGTCTCCCAATAGTAGCACTTGAGGACCTCAGGGTATCCCCCAATAGTACGACTTTAGGATCTAAAGGTGGCCCCAATTGTAGTACCGTTACCCCGTTCCCGGGTAACTGGTAACGGACCGTTACCGTTTCCGGGTAACTGGTAACGGAACCGTTACCAGTTCCCGGGTAACTGGTAACGGTTCCGTTACCAGTTACCCGGGAACGGTAACGGTAACTGCCAACCCCTAGAATTTACTACATTCGGGACTACAGTGATAATATATATATATATGTTTTATTTTATAATGTTGAATATTATATTTTATACATTTGTATATTATACAACTATATAATTGTAAATTATAATTTATTTAAGATACTTGATAAACAAGGAAAGATCTAAATATTCGTAAAATTATCAATATAATCATGCTAAAACGTAATCAATCTTCATTCTGACCTCATAATGGCACAGATCGCTGTATTCTGATAAAACCGATATAATGCAGTCTCGAATAAAGTTAAAAGAAGCTACTCGTAATCTATAAAACCTCATTGAAACTGTTATCCACATGTATTATATTTTATTTTATTCAAAGGCACGTATGTTATACAAAAAATAGGCTTATATGTTAAAATGTGAAATAGTAAACATTGATACATATTTGAATAAAGAAATGATTTTTCTAAACTCTCTATAGGGGAGGGGGGGGGGGGGGGGCTTAAAGGTCTTTCGAGTGAGCTTAGTCCATCCTTGCACCTCCCACCCCCCTGGCTCCGCAACTGGTCGGTACACCGAATAACAGACATATTGAATATCATAACGTATTTTAAAACAATTTCATCGAATTTTTAAATAGACTACTTCACAATTTAAAATATTATTGATAACTATCAAAGAATAATGCTCTCGTTTTTAATCCTACTAAAAATCACAAATGTATTGACCACTTCAAAACAGGCTGCCAAATCCGGTCTGATACTTGAATTCTTTCTTTTTCGACTTTTTATCAAAATATATTACCATTTTAAAAATTAGAAATGTTAAGAAACATTTGATGACAGTAAAAAGATGTGAATTTTAATTAAGATTAACATCGTATACCGTCGTGTTTGCTTAAAATAGTTTTATCGTTCGTCCACATATAATACTCGGTAATACATAAACTATGCTAAAGAACATGGGAAAATGATTGACAGGAAAGGATGGGTCAAAAATAAATCATTATACTGAGTAGGAGCTAAAAATAATACTTTATCTAAAGCGAGTGTTGCTATGGAATTTATATTGTTGTTTCGAACAAAGGCTTTGTCGATTTTAACCATCCAGTCACCTAGCATGCAATAGAGAATAGTCTGTGAATGGATGGAAAAAAATTCTGATATTTAAAATTTGAAGCTTTATCGACAAAATTAAAGTGGCCAAACATTCTTTTTGGCTGCATTCAAAAACAATTTGTGGATACGTGTTAAGTCACTGGATGGTCTAAATCAACAAATAATTCCACTCAGAAATATGGTGCTGTTTTCTTTGATGTACTCCAATAAAAAAGAGTGTGCCACAGGAAATCGAGTTATACATAATAATCACCACTGAGCAAGAATATTGTATAACATATTTTGTTGGTTGGACTCGGCAAACAATTGAACTTATGTCATATTGATTTTATTTCACTGTCAAGAATTTCCAGCTAATCACACTTAATGTAGTACCGATTACTTACTCCCCAGTATATTGATAATTGTCGAAATGATTGTGAAATTCTATTGGAAAAAGAATTTTTTTACACGAAATTTCCTTCCGGCCATTTTGCCCATGCTGGATCATGACAAGATGATCCGTTCTGAGCCCTGGAACATGCATATATCTCAAAGAAAAACAGAATAGATACACGGCCTTATTTTTTAAAGAGAAGTGCGATCTTCACTGTTGTTGAACGCTTCATTTATTGCTCTCTAAAAAAATAGGTATTCTCGCATAACAGCAGAAAAATGTTTCCGAAGACTCGGAAACCCATTTTTTGTTAGGTGACATATAATGTGAACGTCAGCATCTAAACTTTCATCGCATCGAATTTCATATTGAACATAACATCAGTTTGGATACTGATACATATTTACCTTTTGATAATTGAATAGTAAGTTCACATAGTGTACTTGTACTACTTGCCATTTCTTCGACAGTTACAATAAAAGGTAGTGAATTATTGTTGACTTTAAGAATTTCATTCATTTTTCCGCCTTCAATAATTTTTCCAGATTTGTCGAAAAAACAAAGATACATGTCGGATGATGTCGATCGAACATTATTCTCGCCAATGAAATGATCAATAATATCCGCAATTTCACAATTTGGTGTTATCAAATATTTAAATGAATTATTTTTATAGTAAAAATGTGTTGGAATCAACAAATCCCTTTGAATAATATCATATTGAGGTGTCAATCGATGTGGTAGTCGGTTATTCTTTATAAAATCAATGAAGATTTGATTGTTATCCACAACGACAAAACGGTTCGAATCATATTTATTTTCATCAAATATTTTCCTGAGTCGTTCGTACAATTGTTCAACTCTCCACAAGTAAATTTGTGACCTACCATCAGGAAAATTAATAGTAAATTTTCGCGCTTTGGTGAATGATTCTTCAATTTTTTCTTGTTGTTCGTGTATCTTTTTTGCAAAGAGCGATGATGTTAAAGGAACACATTTGATCAAAATCGATGGAGATTTATCTTCATGAATACGATTACTTGCAGTGGTGCTATCCTCGGATATTGCTTTAGCAGATGAGTTCGAATCATCAGAAACTGGTCCCACTGGCATTGACCTTATGATCGGATCGTTGTCACTTTTTTTTGAATCAGGCTCTGTATCACTCGCAAAGTTTTGCTGTAGAATAGGTTTTGGCCTGCCATCGATCGGCGACTCAGAATGTCGGTAAATTTTTTTAGGAGGGTCTGGAGTTATCGGAGAATCTGGTGCGATCACCTCTTCTGAATTAATATATCTAGGAAAGCCATTTCTTTGTTGTTCTTCATTGACGACAGTACTTTCTAAAAAATAGTGTCATGAGGAACTATTTATGTTTTTAGCGAAGATGCTGAATTTTTTAAGGTTTCATTCGTTTATTAATAAACCATTAAAGGTTCTATATAACTTAAAGAATCGTGCCAGAAAATAAATGGTTCAATCTTTTAAGTGAAACCATCTCACACTTTTTTCTTTAAGCTGAACTTCTTTTTACAAAGATGGTTCTAGCGCAAGTCGCTTCAACTAAGCTGGATCATTTTTTGAACGCGATTTCATTAAAGTAAATTCGAAATAGTTTTACTTATCCAATAATAATAACACAAAGCAGATGATAGGTGCTATTTAATTTGATAATAATAACAGTGAACCAGCTGAGGGTGTATGGGGTGTGGGTGTTGGCGTCGGTGTCAATATGAATGTGATTGTGGCTTTGGATATGATCACAGGTGAGTGTGAATGCGCGAAGTAGAAGCGTGCCAGTGTTTGGTTTAGTAACGTGCTCACGAACTTACTCACATACAAAGAAATTTCTCATTGGGAAATGGTGAGACATGCGAAGGTGGAAGGCACCGTATCATCCTATAGAGAAGTGCGTGAAATGCGAAATCTCTGTGACGAGATGCATAGCCCGGCAAACCTCTGACAGAAAATTGAAAAAAAATATTTTCATCGGGAGAAGCTTGTAGATGTCGAGGCGAGAGATACGCATCTCTTTGTAGACAAGTAGGGGGATGCAGTATCTGGGAGTTTGATATGAACATCATTCGTCGTTCTTTCCGCAACAGAATAGTGTGTTGTTTGGAGTTTGGCGTCTGCAGCATCTTCGGGCACTTCCCCAGCATCCCGATTTCCTAGATATGTGACACCTCTCAAAAAGCTGTTAGCGCAATCCATGCGAGATTAAAATGCAAAACGCAATGCACTACTATCCATTTCAAAATAAAAGAAGGGTGAGTATTTTGGCAATAATTTTTGATGGGAACTAGATCGAGATCTGCGGTTTTCACCATTTAAAAGAGGTGACAAAACTACGTTGAATTATCAATACCGAATTTTTTCTGGTACAGTCTTTCGGAGTCTGCCGTCAAGGTTTTTATAAAATTGAGGCTTTTTAAAAGGGTTAGAACATGAACTTTTTGAGAAAAAAAAAAGCGATTTTTTCGTCAAAAAGACGTCGAAAATACTTAGTAAAACCTTCATAACACGTGATGAGCTACGCCTTTTAGCATCGAGCTTACAGAGATTATTGACCTGTACTTAATGATTCTGATGCACTACTGAAACATCAAAGGAGGGGGGGCGGGTTTGCAGGTAAAACGGCCCTAAATAAAAATCATCTCGGAACACTTTATACAATTGAATTTCATCTTCCTATAAGTTAGAATAAAGCATCTGGGCCTCTTTCAGGTCATGTTTCGAGACCTCTTCTCGACATTTCTACCTAGGACAGAAGCATTATCAATATCGGAATCTCCCTCACAGATTAACCGCGTTAGTTTACCAAATCAGTTTCATATTTTCAGGGGAGATAGAGCTTTTCAAGACCTTCAAAATGATCACCAATTGTGAAGAAAAATATGCTGCACTCGACAATTTCCAAGGACCACACTGTCCAGGTTCTACAGCAAAACTCATTGTTGGGATAGTATAGTCCGTACAATCCTAAGTATCGCTCCTGATACCATCGTCAGTTTTTCAGTACAGATAGAACTTTTCAAGAGCTACAAAATGATCACAAATAGTGAAGTAAAATATGCTGCGCTCAAAAATTTCCAAGGACTACACTGTTCAGGTTCTACAGGAAAACTCATTGTTCGGATAGTATGGTCCGTAGGATCTTGATGATCGCTCCTGATACGATAGTCATTTTTTCTGTGCCAACACAGTTTTTCAGAGTCTATGGGCTTTTTTATTTCAAACTGAATTCCAAAATCAAAAAAACCACACCAATTTCTTCCGAATCAAACTTTTCTCGCTTGATACTACGTAGTCTCACTAAAAACCCTTAGTCCCCCCTAGTCCTGCAAAGTCCCCCTTAGTCCCCCCCACAAAAAGCTTAGTCCCCGCTTAGTCCCTTTTCAGGGGACTAAAGCCTATAGTACACAAAACCACAAGCACACCCTCACACTCACTCGCGCGCCCACACCCGCACCATGGGTGTGGGTGTGTGTGTGGGTCCCAGACCAACATCCACACCCTCAGTCACCCCCCTCCCTCACTCCTAGACTCACGTTTCAGTTTGAAATCAAGTATTATTTTTATTTGATAAATTCAGACTGAAATTAAATAGCCCATAGTATGGTTTTTCAAGACGTACACAATGATCAGAAAATGTAAAGGAAAATGCGTTGCGCTTGAGAATTTCCGAGGATCACTCTGTCCGGGGTCTACAGGAAAACCAATGGATTTGATAGTATTGTTCTTGCAATCTTGACTTTAGCTCTTGATGCCATTGCCGTTTTTCTGTGGAGATAGAGCGGTTTAAGAGCTACGAAATTGTAATAAAACGTTAGGCAGCAGTGGGGATGCCAGAAAATCTCAAGGCGCACAGTATCGGCAATGTTGGGAGTAATCGACGGTCAGTATAGTGTGGTCGATGATATGTTTTTGGAGGTATGATTTATACTTCCCTCTATAACATTGCTGAAAAATATGACCTCCGTATGGTGGTTAGTTGTACAAATGTAGGCATCCATCGGCGGAGACGTTGGAAAAAAACCGTTAATGAATAAAAGTCGAATGCATTTTGCAGTTAGAGGAAGTCCGCTGCTCACACTTACACAACCACCATAACAATGATAGATATATATGACTTGTTCGGATTGCCTTTATGGGAAAAGTAATAAGAATTCATCTTACCCCTCACTTTTATATTTTATTACCGCTATCTGTAAAATAAATCTAACAAATGCTTCCCTTTAAAAATTTCGTCTTCATATGTCTCTCTGTATGAAACATATACGCTCCGAGTCACTCTCCAAGGAAAACGTTTTCTTCGCGCATGCCGCGCCATCTCTTAACCTCTATCGAAATCACTCTCCACGAAACATATTCTCTCTTCTCTCTCTGATCTCGTATCATGTCTAAATCCAAATCTAGCCAACATTTTTTCATCATTCTCCTTCGCTATATAGCCACCTTCACCTGAAACTCTCTGTATACTACATCTTCTGTATGAATCTCTGCTTGTTTACTACCCTTCCTCTCAACCGCTAAAATGACTCTTCCATTACTGCATACCAATCATCCTCGATACATTGCTTAAACCTTACTTCATTCCACATGCATAACGGCTTCTTACCTATAACACGTTCTATCACTTACTCCAATATTCACAACCATTCTATGATCAGAGTTTCAAAACCCGTTCGTCATATTCTTTCGACAATTCGTTTTCTCACAACGATTTGATAGTGTCGTCCGCGATTTTTTTCGAGGACTGTAAATTTCCTTTTAGATTTATGATCATTGTATACGTCTTGAAAATCTCTATCCACACCGAAAAAATGGCGATGGTAACAGGGCTGATACTCAAGATCGTATGGACCATACTATCCTAACAATCGTCTTTCTATAGAATCCGGATAGTGTGTTCCTTGGAAATTTTCGAGCACATCATATTTTGCTTCACAATTTGAGATCATTTTGAAGATTTTGAAAAACTCTATCTGCACAGAAAAAATGACTATCGTATCAGGAGCGATCATCAAGATCCTACGGACCATACTATCAGAACAATGAGTTTTCCTGTAGAACCTGAACAGTGTAGTCCTTGGAAATTTTTGAGCGCAGCATATTTTACTTCACTATTTGTGATCATTTTGTAGCTCTTGAAAAGTTCTATCTGTACTGAAAAACTGACGATGGTATCAGGAGCGATACTTAGGATTGTACGGACTATACTATCCCAACAATGAGTTTTGCTGTAGAACCTGGACAGTATGGTCTTTGGAAATTGTCGAGTGCAGCATATTTTTCTTCACAATTGGTGATCATTTTGAAGGTCTTGAAAAGCTCTATCTCCCCTGAAAATATGAAACTGATTTGGTAAACTAACGCGGTTAATCTGTGAGGGAGATTCCGATATTGATAATGCTTCTGTCCTAGGTAGAAATGTCGAGAAGAGGTCTCGAAACATGACCTGAAAGAGGCCCAGATGCTTTATTCTAACTTATAGAAAGATGAAATTCAATTGTATAAAGTGTTCAGAGATGATTTGTATTTAGGGCCATTTTACGTGCAAAGCCCCCCCCCCCCCTCCTTTCAAAACTTTTACATTACGCAATGTTTTGTTGTCGGAAAACTTGTCACAGGACCATGAGAAAGTATGCTAGAAAAATCTGGTATTGGTAATTCGATGTAGTTTCATCGTCTCTTTTAAATGGTAAAAACCGCAGATCTTTATCTAGTTCCCATCAAAAATTATTCTAAAAATACTCACCCTTCTTTTATTTTGAAATGGATAATAGTTGTTATTGATTCCCCGATTTCGCCTTATGTTTTCTATACTTATTCATATTTCTTCATCACAGCTTAGTTTACAGTATAAAAGTTCAACAAACAGATCATCCACGTGCACTCGAATAGAATGTTGGTATTATATGATTTACGATAGTACCTTGGAACCTCTCTGCCATGGTATGTGATGGTCTCTGGAGTCTCTCTGTCAATGTTTGTGATGGTTAAAACTTCTCTCTTTCACGATCTGTGGAGGGGGAGGGGTGTAAAATTTCTACCCTATATACTTCAACACTCCTTTCAGATCGTGTTTCACAAAAAAGACATTTTCCTCA